TACCTACTGTGCTTGTACATTATTATTTTGTTGTTGTGCGGTTGTGCCTTTATTAATCTAAAAATAATTATTGTAACATAGGTAAAAATGAGCAGGACCTCCTGGGTAATGTGGAAACCTGCTGAAGTAATAAATAAAAATCTCACCTCGTCCCGCACTTTTTGTATTATTCTAGCTAAATTTTAAAAATTCTTCTCGTGAGAACTCATTTTTAAATAATATATTTTTATTATTTAGATTCTAAAGTGCTCCAAAAAAATTGCCTGCGGTGCCATATAGCGGTTCATGAGTCTCACCCTCATGAATTGTCACGAGCCGCCACTGCTAACCTCAAAGTTTGTATGGGACAATCACATACTTGTGGAAGTATGTGGGGACAATAAGCTTAAGCAACCCCTGTTTCTACGACACTGTGTTCACTCGAACAATTGTAATTATGTGTGATTATGTGTTTTGGTAGTAAGTGACTGTTCGCAAAATATCACCTTTCCAGGTCTACCATAGTAGAAGTTATATTAAAAAAACTAATATGATAAGTAACACTTTATCACCCTGTATCTTTTAAACATAGGTACGTAATTAGGAAAAATATTTATTTAGATTTTTGTCTTATTTTGACTTGCTTAATCTGCTCCTAAATTTATGCCACTAAGTTTAGGGACACCTTGTATATCTCTTATGCTAAGCAAGATTTAAAACAAATATTTCATGTTTACAGGCTGTTCTTAAACTGCATTCGATATAATTAGGTTTGACCATTTTAGTTAAAAATCTTTTATAAAAAACATTAAGATAATTTTTTATGACCAGCGATATTTAAGTTTTTTATATATCTCTTATGCTAAGCAAGAGCACGTATTCTGCCGTGCTTAATGAAAACGCCGTAACCAACAATTTTGCGATTTTTGGTTTACGGCATTTTCTACTAGAACAATTCACCCTGCGTCTATCCCCGGTACTCAAAAAACCGTATAGATATAGATACGGTTTTTTGAGTACCGGGGATAGACGCAGGATGAATTGTTCTAGTAGAAAATGCCGTAAACCAAAAATCGCAAAATTGTTGGTTACGGCGTTTTCATTAAGCACGGCAGTATTTTAGAATAAACGAGCATAAACGAAAAAAACCCGAGAATTTATGTTTGGGGTGTGATAAAGTATTCAAAAACTTACTTTTCCTATTTTTTCAGAAAATGCTCAAAATTCACAAAATGCTAAAAATGCTCAAAATTCTCCTAACGCTTCTTAAGAAAAATGACACTGTATTAATATTCTGGGCATACAAGTATAAGTATCCTGATGTAGAAACATCATGTAAGAATTTAGGTAACTTAGCAAAAAACTTTTTATAAAAAAAACATCAAATGCCTCGCATTTTCTTCTGGGCATATTTATTAAATCAAATATTTAAGTTTCCCGCGGAAAACAAAAAAAAATAACACTACCCAATCTCTCTAATTACACACACTGACCCGAGCACTGGCCTTTACGCAACGAATCGAACGTGTTAACTGAATCAAAATCAAAATAGTCAAAATATTTTTAAAACGCAACAGCCGCATAGAAATACATGCAAAAACTACGGTCGGCATCGCCACAAAATAGACCGGCGGTTTGTGATACCGTTGCCGACAATAGTTTTTGCATGTTTGTTAACTATTTGAAGATATTACCAGGGCTGTATTATGTGCAATACACGCGCTCACGCGGATGAAACGCGCCGATTGGCCAGAATCGTGCTCAAAATTCTCTAGAGAACGTTCGCGCACGATAAATCGTTTGGACACGAAAGAACGAACGCACGAACGATTTAATTGTGCGCGAACGTTCGCGAATATTCGTTACAGCACGAAGGGAACGTTCCCCACTCTACATCACTAAAATTAGGTATTGAACAAATTTTCACCAAGTAATTTGAATAAAAGTAATACCTAGGTAATCAATTTAAATTTTTTAATACTAAAATTGAAAATTAAATAAAAACAAATTTTCACCACGTAATTTGAATAAAAATAATACCTAGGTAATCAATTTAGATTTTTTAATACTAAAATTGAAAATTAAATAAAAATTATAAAAACACATTTTTGTTAAAATTCGATAATAGTGTAAATTTACCTTAATTGTATAATTGTCACTTTGATTGTCAGCAAGATACATACACCTTAAGATAGGATGGTGCGCATGTTGGGCGGGGCTTAATGACGTCACTTGATGAGTGTTTTTAAATCTTTAACGTGCTTTTTAATTATATACTGCTAAAATTCTTGTTTTTGCGATGCTTTTGGATGTTAACTTGCTCTACTTTTTGTTTAACTTGTCGTTTTTGTGTTCGGTAAGGTTCGAATTACTTTTCAGCGTTCAAATTATTGTTATTGCGTTAGGTTAACCTGTTAGGTTTGTTTATTATTGTTTTTGTGTTCCGTTAACTTGTTTTGTTTGTGTTTTAGATTGTATAGTGCCATTTGCATTTATTAAAATGCGGTGTGGCATATTTGGATGCAATTCGGACAACCACTCCAAGAAAAACCCTTTAAATAAAAACATTAAATTTAATCGATTCCCGAAAAAGTTTGATTTGTGGAAACAGTGTTTAAATGCCACAAAAATAATAGACAATATTTACCTTAAGACCGCTTCTGTTTCCTATAAACATTTTCTGGACAGTGACTATAAGTTTAATTTAAAACACCAACTCTTAAACTACAGCCCTAAATGTTATCAAGGACTGAAAGCATTTATTATCTATATTATAACACTTTCTTCAATATTAAGTTTAATAAAAACGCACTATGTCCAGAAATTTCTCTATTTTCTTTGATAATATTACTATTATTCGTGTATTCGCACGGCAACTACTCATCAAGTGACGTCATGCGCGGGACGAACCAAAACTCGTACACGGGAGCATCCAGCCCTGGATTGTCAGTGTTTTTGTTTTTGTTTTTGGTTTTCTGACATTATTAGTAGTTTGTCGTGTTTTAGTTTGTGTTCTGCAAAAGCAAGCGTGTTTGGCAACTTTATTTAATTAATAACTAAATTAAGGTAAGTCAGATCGAAAAACGCGAAAAGACTTTTCGTCTTTTTCTTGGCTCTACTAATGGTAGGAATGGTTTCAGTAAATTATTTAACAATTAAGAAAAGTTCAGTGAAAAGAATGGTTTTAAAAATAATATAAAATATAATTCATACATTTTTTTTTAAATTATAATTTAAAAAGTACCTAAGTAGGTACCTACTTAAAACTACAACATTTCCTACGTTTCATATTATTATAAAAAATACCATACCTTATAATATTATAATTTCATTATCAAAACTGTAAAAAATGCACATCAACTAGGCAGTGATGCACAAACCACAATAAATACTAACATAAAAAAAATTCAAGGCAAAACCTAGTCACCCACCTGTGATTATAAAAATGTAATTGTTAATCACTTTGAAAACAAAATAATAAAAACAAACTATTAAACTTGTTATAAATATTACTATGGTTTTGCAAAACTCACTTTTGTTTTCGATATGTTTCAAAGAAAAATTGTGAACCGTTTTATTCTTTAAAATATCACAGTAAGAAATGTTTCCGTTTGTCAGTAGGTTTTCATAATATTACTGTAAGAAAACAAAATTACTTTCACTAAGAATTTTACACGGTGCACCGCGGTGGTAAGCAAATAGATATTGAAAGTAAAAAATAGATAAAAAAGTTTCATTGTTATTGACTTGTGTGCTAAAGCCAGTTCTTGGGAAAAATATGCCATTTATAATGTAGGTATCTATTTAATTTATTTAAATTTAAAAATACTTTGTAGCAATATTAGGTACCTATTTAAGCTAAAAATTGGAATACCGTATAGGCACAAATATATTTCAAATTCGCGGGTTTTAAGGTGCCATCAACCTAACAAACTGTTTTTTGAAGAAGAACCCATTACAAGATAGTTCTAAAAAAGTAAACAAGCTGTTAACTACTAAAACTTTCATTTTAACAGAAAATTCAAAAAGGTTAATCCTAGGCAAATAAAAAATTATAATACCTGACGACTCGGTCGAAAAAGTTTCAATATCCTCCTAAATCTCTTCCGGAAAAACATATCAAATAGCTTTACTATAACTTTTTTAACCATTTGCTAACCAAAAGTTGAGCATAATTTTTGAAGGGTGATACTTAAATTGTCAAAAATTTAATTTCTTTTCAAAAATCCCCAAATAAACCTATAAAGTGTATACCTAATTAATTTTGTAATTAAAAATTAAAAAAACAAGATTTTGGGATTTTTAGAAGCAAAAACAACAATAACTCACCTTTTAAAAAAGAAAGATCTTAATTCTCAACTTATTTTCATTCTCACAAAATTCTTTTATTTTTAAAACCCGACAAGCTGTCAATTATTCATGGTTATGTTACTTTGCAAAACAACAACAACAACAAATTACCAAATAAAAAGGGCACAATTTAAATAAATTGGCTTATTATCTCATTGTAAAAGTAAATAAACTGCTACACAGAATTGTTTAACTGTACTTACAAATTGGCAATGTGGGTCAACGGCAATTTATAACAAGAAAAAATTGGTTTGGGTATATTTTGATAAATAATGAATAATCTTACTCGATTTCACATGATTTTTATTCATGAAAATTAATTTTTTTGAATAATTTGAAATATAAAATATTGAGTTTAGGCAATAAACGTACAGATTAGAGTATACTGTGTTGTCTATGTTTGTTGACATTTCAGATTCCTGCATTACCGACGCCTTGTCATGTTATGATATTAAACAAAATTTTCTTGCTTAAATATATAATATAAATTTATTACATTTGGTGAGGACATTATAAATATATATATATATATATATATATATATATATATATATAACCATTAGAGATTTGTAGCACAAATGCTGGTTTAATCCTATTTTAAGGTTGTTTTACCGATGTTATTTCTGAACGTGGCGCGTAGTTCTGACAGGTGATCCCAATGACGTAACTGTCAAAGAAGAAAATAAACGGGGGGGAAGCGTTTTGCAGCATCAGTTCAGTGTTTTGTTGTGGCGTGTTGGGTTCGTAATGATTTTAGTGCGGTAAACACAGTGAAAAAAAGCGTCTAAAATGACCACGTTACTAATTTCGGCGACCGAGTTGTCGAATATTTTTTCGGTACTTGCTGTGCTGTTGTGTTTTTGTGCTATGATTTTGTTTATCACAAGGTATGTTGATTTTGTTTCGCGGTCTGTTTGTTAGTAAATATGGTGTAGTAGCCCTAGATACAGATATAAATAGAGCAGTGGTTAACAGATTTGTCTTTGCCTAGTAATAATTATTAAAAGTCAAATGTAGTAAACAATAATAGTTATTTATGTCATTAGGTTAAGAAGTAAGGCTTTTTGTGATTGGCGTAATGTTAGCTACCAAAACCGACCACGCATGCGCATTTGAAATGTCATTTTATTTCAAATTTAATAGGTTAAAATGGGTTATAAAGCAAGTTTAAGCATTGTTTTACATATTTTAAAGAGGAAAAAGCGTCCTAAGTGTAATTTTAATAGTTATAATTTAGGTAATAAACCACAACTAATCCTGAAAAACAGTAACAACAAATGTTTAACCTCCAAAACAGGCCAAGGGATTTTTCTACTTTTACAAGCATAAATAAGTAAGAAAAAAGTGTGATACCCCAAGTAAACGCATTGTGCGACATTTTTCAAGCAAATTTTAAGAAAGAAAATGTGTTCTAAGTGAAATTCAAGTCATATTTTTAATATCTTCGGTTCAGCTACCAAAACAGGCCAGGGGGCTTTTCTTCCATTTACAAGCATAAATAAGCAAGAAAAAAGTGTGATACCCCAAGTATAGGCATTGTTTGACATATTTCAAGCAAGAAAATGTGTTTAAAGTGAAATTTAAGAAATATCTCTAGTTCAGCTACCAAAACAGGCCAGGGGGCTTTTCTTCCATTTACAAGCATAAATAAACAAGAAAAAAGTGTGATACCTCAAGTAAATGCATTGTTTGACATTTTTCAAGTATATTTTAAGAAAGAAAAAGTAAAATTCAAGTAATATTTTTAATATCTTCAGTTCAGCTACCAAAACAGGCCAGGGGGCTTTTCTTTCATTTATAAGCATAAATATACAAGAAAAAAGTGTGATACCTCAAGTAAATGCATTGTTTGACATTTTTCAGCATACTTTAAGAAATAAAATGTGTTTTAAGTGAAATTCAAGTAATATTTTAGGTTATGTTCATCTACCAAAACAGGCCAGGGGACTTTTCTTCCATTTCCAAGCAAAAATAAGCAATAAAAGTGTGATACCCCAAGTAAATGCATTGTTTGACATTTTTTAGGCATACTTTAAGTGAAATTAAAGTACTATTTTTAATATCTTCAGTTCAGCTACCAAAACAGGCCAGGGGGCTTTTCTTTCATTTCCAAGCAAAAATAAGCAAGAAAAAAGTGTGATACCCCAAGTAAATGCATTGTTTGACATTTTTTAAGCATACTTTAAGAAAGAAAATGTGTTTTAAGTGAAATTCAAGTAATATTTTTAATATCTTCGGTTCAGCTACCAAAGCAGGCCAGGGGGCTTTTCTTTCATTTACAAGCAAAAATAAGGAAGAAAAAAGTGTGATACCCCAAATAAATGCATTGTTTGACATTTTTTAAGCATACTTTAAAAAAGAAATATGTTTTAAGTGAAATTCAAGTAATATTTTAGGTTATGTTCATCTACCAAAGCAGGCCAGGGGGCTTTTCTTCCATTTACAAGCATAAATAAGCAAGAAAAAAGTGTGATACCCCAAGTATAGGCATTGTTTGACATATTTAAAATTTTATTTGTAAATTCAATAATTACAGATTTTATTCGATTTTAAATTGTTATTATTTATTTTATAAAAATAAAAAAATATTTAAAATGGTATAAAACCTGTAATATTTGGATTTTTTAAATAAAATTTTAAATTTGTGTATACATTATAGTAGATTATAAATTGAACCACTTTAATTTGAATTATCTTAAATAGGGGGGCCTGGAGGCGGGTGAGGCGACAGGAAAAACTAACTTTTTTCGCAAACTTCAATTTAAATTTGGTGTGGGTCCATATCTAATAACTGAAATATTGGTATACCCAAAATCCACCAGCCGCCACTGACGACACAGTTATAGCAAAATAATTAATTATTTACATGTGCTATTATAACATTGCCATGGCTACATGTCTTAGTTTCGATACCCTTATAAATATAAATAAAAAAAAATATAAAATATCATTTATCAATCAAAACAAAAGAGACATTGCAACTAAAATTTTTATATTATTATAAGTTGTCATGAGATGCACCGTTGGAGGCCTTTAGCGCTAACGGTGGATGTGGGTGGAGAGACCTCTCTTTTGTTTAATAATAATAGTTTAGTTTGTAACCTCAAGTCAGGGTTGCTCAGTGAGCGGAATTTACCCAATCGGATTTTAAAAATCTTCAGAATTTTTTTTATTAATTATTATGATGCATAATTGAATTATTGAATATATGTTTTTCAAATCTCTAAAATACTCAAAAATAGTTTGTGTTACGAAGAAAATTCCCAAATTTAAAAAAAAATAAAAACATCTCTTATTACATAATAATATATATTAAATATACTTAAGTTTAATTACCTAATACGTTTTCTTCTAAAAATACTTCTTATAAAAAATACATATCTTTGGGTTATGGAACTAGTTTTTAATGTTATAATAATAATACTCTTTATTCAAAAAAGCCTCTTGGGCAACGAACACGTCAATACAAAGAAATATAAATAGCTGTATAGTGAAACAATACAAGTACAACAAGTACACAAAGTATTAACAATAACAAATTTGTTTTAAAATAGGCTTTCAACTAAAATATTTTAAAATTTATTATCATAAAATTCTTCTGTGGAGTAAAAACACTGAATTTCAAGTTTAAATTTTTTATCATTTATCATTTTTTATATGATGTAGAATATGATTATAAATTTTTATTATTTCATTTTTCACACTTTTTTGAACTAATGACAAATTTGTTTTATTAGGAATTAAGACTTTTCGGCCATTTCAAGCGCGCGAAACGCACGAATTACAAAACTGTTTTTATAAAAAAAATTGTACATTATTTATTAAATAATATTTTGGCATCAAAATTGTCAAAAATATTTTTCTTTTATTAGGTTATACATTAAATAAAAAAAATGCAAGAAATATTTTATAAAAGTAGATAGTAGTATAGTATAGTATATTTCGATAAATGATCATATGTACAATAGAAACTTAACTTATTATACAGTGTACCCTAAAGGTGTAGATCGTGTCAATAAATAATTCAAAATAAAAGCATAAGTATACACAATTAAAATTCTAGAAAAGGATAAAACTACAGTTAGAATAAGACATTAAAATATTAAAACAATACATTAAAATATTAAAACCATACATTAAAATATTAAAACAATACATCAAGTGCTGGAAAGTATAATACATTCTAGATCATGGAAATCTTTCTCCTCCAAAAATTCATTAATACTATAGTAACATTTTTTGACTAGAAACTTGTTTAGTTTTGCTTTTTGTTGGTTGATCTTTAATGTTTTGAAAAATGTGGGTAGTATATTCCAGATTTTGACTATCATATATAATATGTTTTTTTGCAAGTAAGAGAAATTTGCTCGATCAGGATATAGCAGATCCTTGTTTCTAGTATTATATATATGATCATGTTGAAGATCTGTTAAGGTGGAGCTATTTTTTATGTGAAATTTAAGAAATATCTCAAGTTCAGCTACCAAAACCGGCCAGGGGGCTTTTCTTACATTTACAAGCATAAATAAACAAGAAAAAAGTGTGTTACCCCAAGTATAGGCATTGTTTGACATATTTTAAGCAAGAAAATGTGTTTAAAGTGAAATTTAAGAAATACCACATTTTCTTGCTTAAAATATGTCAAACAATGCCTATACTTGGGGTATCACACTTTTTTCTTGCTTATTTATGCTTGTAAATGGAAGAAAAGCCCCCTGGCCTGCTTTGGTAGATGAACATAACCTAAAATATTACTTGAATTTCACTTAAAACACATTTTATTTCTTAAAGTATGCTGAAAAATGTCAAACAATGCATTTACTTGGGGTTTCACACTTTTTTCTTGCTTATTTTTGCTTGTAAATGGAAGAAAAGCCCCCTGGCCTGTTTTGGTAGCTGAACCGAAGATATTAAAAATATTACTTGAATTTCGCTAAAAACACATTTTCTTTTTTAAAATATTGTCACGAAATAAGAAAATATTATTTATTGATTTATTAATTTTACTTTATTTTAATATAATAATTATTTTCCCACATAAAAGCAACAGGAAAGTTTCAGATTATTGCAGATTATTTGATTCTCAAATAGATTTACGTGGAAATTTATTGTGAGAAATGCAATCTTGCAATAATCAGCAAACATGTATTTCTTGTGTATATGACGTAGTGTTCTAGTTTTGTATATAAACCCATATTGCTTGTAATGTAAATTCATTCAGAAATAAAGCCGTTATAATGTAAGTTTGGCCTTTTAACCATACGTCACCCAACAGTCCCAATCATCGATGGTGGAGTCCCCGCTTCATCACTACTGGTGGAGTCCCTCGTCGTCACATGGTGGAGTCCCTCGTCGTCACAATATACTTGAAAAATGTCGCACAATGCGTTTACTTGGGGTATCACACTTTTTTCTTCCTTATTTATGCTTGTAAATGGAAGAAAAGCCCCCTGGCCTGTTTTGGTAGCTGAACTTGAGATATTTCTTAAATTTCACTTAATACACATTTTCTTGCTTGAAATATGTCAAACAATGGCTATACTTGGGGTATCACACATTTTTCTTGCTTATTTATACTTGTAAATGAAAGAAAAGCCCCCTGGCCTGCTTTGGTAGCTGAACCAAAGATATTAGAAATATTACTTGAATTTGACTTAAAACACATTTTCTTTCTTAAAGTATGCTTAAAAAATGTCAAACAATGCATTTATTTGGGGTATCACACTTTTTTCTTCCTTATTTTTGCTTGTAAATGAAAGAAAAGCCCTCTGGCCTCTTTTGGTAGCTGAACTGAAGATATTAAAAATATTACTTGAATTTTACTTAAAACACATTTTCTTTCTTAAAGTATGCTTAAAAAATGTCAAACAATGCATTTATTTGGGGT